TCAGCTGAGAGCAATCCTGGTCCACCATTGAGCTTAGCAAGACATCCACCTGAGCTCTCGGCTCTGCAGGGGAATGAGGACAGTATCACCCGGTTGAGCTAAATCTGATTTTCACCTCTGTCTAGACTGGTATGAAGCTATGATGGAGTTTTGACTGGCTTGAGGATTGCAGTGTCATGGGAGTGACAAAATGGATGTCAGGAGTCGGCTTAGGCAAACTATTGTATATTGTGGAATGCTGCCATACTGTATTTTTCAAACTTGAGTGATAGAGGTGCGAACAAGACCCTGCCACTTTTTCCTTATAATCTTTTGTACTTGGTATACCAATATATGAATATCCTTGGTTGACCGTGAGTTAGTGTGGAAATGAGATCTGCAATACAAATTGAAGAAATTGAAAACCAGACAGTTACATGCATGTTCAGTGCTGAAAAATGAGACCATCACTGTGGCCAAGCAACTACACAGCTTTCCTTTGACCCTCTAAACCCGTTTTGTCCAGCACTTCTTCCCTGAAATGGCATTAGCATAAATCTCCAACCCATAGAGGTAATGATGGCGTGAAATTATGGCTGCCTCAGCAGACCTTCTTCCCCTTTCTGCTCTCCCTCCCTCTAGGTCCAAGGCCTCAGCCTTCGAATGAAACCATCTCCCATGCCTTTTTTTCCTCCTTCCTCTCCTTCTCTCTTCTCCCTTACTTCCTAGTTCCATTCAAAGGGAATGTGTAACTGAATTTGAAATTGAGTGCCCCTCTTTCAAGGACCACAGCTAATGAGACATTTTGCCTTGAAATCTAGGCTAGGTGGGGGAGACCCTGATGAGTGAGGCCTGGAGATGATAGCCACCCTGTATGTCAGGTGTAAGGCTGTCCAGATGAGAAGGAGAAAGGTGGTTTCTATAGGAGTGAAAACTAAGGATACGTCTTTATAGAATGAGCACCCTTCTCTGGGTCACCTGGGGCTGCCATTGTGAATCCAAGAGCTGGTATGAAATAGTACGCCTGTGTGATCTGCATCTACAGTATGTGCAAAGAAAAGCTATGTTGGGTAAAAAAGAAGGCCATAATGGTCTTCTGGAGAGAGATAGGTAACAATTTGATTGAGATGGAAGAAAGTACACTGGAGTGGGTCAGAATGAGTTGAGGAAGGATGGAGTGTGGAGAGATGGAGAGGAGAGTCGAGCCCATAGAAACAGGTATACTTGACAGTTTGCGGTCGAGGGATCATCCAAGAGACGGCGCATGTGTGCAGTGATGAAAGGAATCAAGAGCTTTGCATCCTAGGGGTCCTCCCTTTAATCAGGGGCCCTGAGGAGAGAACCTTGCAGCCTATGGGCCCCTGGCCATTACTAGCCACTGTCATGCTAATGAAAGAGGCTCAGGGTGTGAATGGAGAGGCTAGCTTGTTACCAGCGTGCTAATTAATGCATGTGGCTGGTGTGTGCATGTGTGTGTGTGAGTGAGGGTTTTATGCATTTTAATGAGGTGTCTGTGTATGTGTGAGAGTGTGTATGCATGTCAGGGTGACAGGGATTCAAAGCATGGAGTGAGACGGATGTGCAACCAGGTTTAAAATAAGGGCTTGAGTGCAGAACACAGCAGATGCATCTAGAAATGGTGTGCAAATAATTTATTGGAAATTACCTGCAGCTGAGATAAAGTCTGTACTGTGAAAATATGTTTTAGGCTTCAAAGTGCAGTGTAAACCAGCTTAAAGGACTACGATAGACTCTGAATTGTCTATACACCGAAAAGCGTGTGCAGATTCTGTATCGTCTATTATTAATAAAAGTAATCAAGAACTATAATTAATAAATGTAATTATTACTAGTATTATTTTAATGCATAGAGATAAAGCTGCACTGTCTTGATCAGTGTGTAGTGAAACATTCCTGTTTGATTTATTTTCTTATGATGGGCTACATCACACTGACTGCTGTTTATCAGTGCACTTGTGTCTGTCACGTCCCAGGCTTTATGACAAAAAATTATCCTTGGAGATCCGTCAAGGGTCTCACCTCAGACAACCCTGTCTGTCTACTCCGTGTTCCCACGGACGGATGGATGGGGGACTTGTGGATGGCCACAGGCGCAGCATATGGCCTTAGGCCACAGTATTGTCTGAGCTGTTTGCATTGTTGCACGTGCCACTCAGACAAGACATAGGGGTGTGTGTCAGGGCAAAGGGAGAGCCATAGAAGTCCGTGACCTTTTCATTTGCTGGTGGCCTCTCTCACAGGCCTCTATGTCGGCGTACATGCACCATTCTATGATTTGGGACTCTATCAATCTCATCTGTATTGACAAGGGGCATGTTTGCTGGATTCAGTTTGAATGATGTAGCCCAAGAGGAAAGTCCAGAAGCAGAGCTTTGTTATAAAATGCCTTACAGACACATATGAAGATATTATTTCCACAATGGGGGCTGAGATAAATTAGGTTAAACGCTCTGAGGTTATGGCCTGTGAGAGAATTATTACTATGCCTGAAATGTGAAATTTTCATCTCTGAAGAATTAATATTATTTCTAGAGCATCAACATGAATATCTCACATGATGTGATCTGGTACAGAAGTGATACACTAATGAAATATAATCAAAATTTCTCCATCAATCAGCTTATATACAATTTTAAACAGCCTTTTCCTATGTGTCCTCTGACAGTTTAAGGTCTCACCTTTTGCACAGAAGTAAAAAAAAAAAAGGTTTAGTGTTGAAGTAATGTTAACAGTAGAGGCATATAAAGTCTGTTATTGTAAAATAAAACCCTCCGTTCTGCCTATCTTCAAGGCAGCTGCCTGATTAACAGAGTCACTGTCTCACTTCGTGATAGCTAAATACACTGGAGGTCCTTACATTTTGTTCCAACAGTACTGTGTCTCATATCCCACCCCACCCCCAACCTTGTCCACAATTTAAAGTACCATTATAAAAATGTCAAGAGGTCCCTCTTTCTCATCCTGTCTGTCAAAATCATGTGCCATTATGCAAATGAGTGTGTGAACACTCTTTAAGTTTTGCATATGCTATAGGCAATACTGAATTCAAACAATTACTGAATTATTCTTAGAGATGCATATTGCACATGTACATTTTTGAAAAAGGGAATATTTTACAACTGCCCTTGAAGGTTAAAACATTATCCCTGCCTCATTTTTAACAAAGTAATATTTTTTGTGCAAAGACTGATTACTTCAATTTCAGCATTTCTTCAAAGTTGTTTGTGATTAAAAAGGCAATTGTCTATTTTTCAATTCTTCTTAATACATTTATATGATTAAAAAGTTTTCAACAAAAATATACATAAAATTAAATCCCCATACTATCTACTATCTTTTGAATCAGAATTAGAAGCAAATAGATAAATGACCAAATCAAAATCTGTTCAACCTACACAAGTGAATCAGACACGTGCTCAAGTCCTGAAAATATTCTTCGAGTTAAGAGGATTTTCATCCATTGATACATTTAACTGAGCAGATCACACTAAATGGTCCAACGCCAGCACCAGTTTGAATTGGGTTTAAAGTGATTTTCTCAGTTACTATTAGATGGAAGTGCATATGTGATTTTATCCTTTGACATTTCTTAACTCCTTCTTCTTTCACTGGTCTTAAATGCATTTGAATTGCAATATCTGGAGTGGATTTGCACTTCTGCAGAAATGGAAATAATGTGTGTGAGAAAAGAGGAAAAGAGGGACATAAGAGCTTAAAATAGATTTTTTTTTGTGAAAAGCATGGATGTACCAGACATAGAGGTCAACCTTATAGCGTGCCCGTTTGGAGGAGGGATCATTTAAGCCATTACCCATGACTTTAACAGCAGTGCTTCTTATATAATGGCAGAGATCCTCCTATCGAAAGCACATGAAAAGAGCTATGTGTATCCTTCTGCTGCACCTGTACTATACAGAATGTTACAGCATTACATAAAATCAAGGACAAATATCTTCACCGCTCGATGACACATCAGGGTATCCTTTAGTGTAGAAGGCGCACAGAGAGACAGAGAGGGGACCAGAGATCAGGCCTTCTGTTTTGACAGTCCTCAACCAGAGCATTGCTCCATTGTTTGTTTATCAGAGTAGAGGAGTCATGAATGTGGTTTGAGTGACAGTGAGTCCAACGTACACTGACATGTGGAACTGCTTCACATTTCCTCTAATTGCTCTGCATTGCCCGAGCTTTGCACACATGTAGAGCATGGTAAGAGGCGCCTCTTTTTAGGTCGACACAGAGGGTACTGTGATTCGGAATACAAAGAGAAAAGGAGACAAGGGGGGAAGATGAAGAGCAGCAGGAGGAGAAGGGCTTGAAGAGGAGGCATTCTATTATTCCTCATAGACTACTCTGAAGGACAGAGGGGTGATGGCCTTGTTTGTACAACTCTGTGGCATAATAATGTGCTGCATTAAATCTCTGGCCAGTTTAAGCATAGGCATAGTGCCAGCAAACTATGACATCAGGTACATTTAACCAATCAGGTGTCAATGATGCAAGTTATAGGGTTTGTGAAAACATCCAAATGTAGAAACAAAGAAGCGGGTGTGAGGGGTACACTACAGTGGCAGATATGGTGTCAGTTGTGATTCATGGTGCGTTGAAAAGCACTGAGATTGGAGGAAATCCTTGCAAGGAAGGGGAAAAAGCCTCTATCCTTGCTGATGCTATTTTAATTAAATAGTTGCTAGGTTACATCGTGCAGAACGACAGGGGTGGGTGGTGTGGCACAGGCGCCTGGGTGAGGGGAATAGTGTGTGTGAATACACTGAATGTTTGTGTGTGTGTGTGTGTGTCTGTGTGAAGGGTCATGTCTCTGAACAATGAAAGCACATCCCTTTCTCCACACCCAATCTATAATAAGGATTTCAAATGTGAGACATATTGACATGAAATACAGTGAGAGCGATTTTATGCTCTCTAAACGCTCTCTAGCCCTCTTCCTCTCCTTTGCTCTCTCCCCATCCTCATCTGTCTTCTTCATTTTTCTCTCACAGATCAGAGGACGAGGGGAAGCCCTCTTTCATCTCCATGATGGTGCTTTTCACCTCCACTGGTGACTTACCATGGACTGGTGCTCCCATCGCACCCTAGGATGCCAGACGGTGGAGAATGCATGTGTGTGCTGGCAACCACTCCTGTTTCAGATACCCCTCTACCCAACATACACATACACACACCTACTTCACAGTCCTTTAGCACTCCACTTCCAGACTCTGTCCAGGACTCTGACCACACAGAAACCCAGACAGGGCACTGATGGATGGGGCTGGAGACAACAGAGATCCCCTTGATGTTGGTAATAAATCCAACAGGCCCTACTGAATAAGGCAAAGTCGCATCTCTCTCATTGACTTCAGGCTGAAGGGTGTGTATTTATCTGTGGGTTTGCCCTTTTTTCTTTATTCTCAACAACCCTCCCTTGTCTCCAGCTCTGCCTTTCCTTCCTCCTCTACTTCTTCCCTCTATGCTCGCAGAAATAATGCCATAATTTACAACTTTGCATGGTAAAAATGAATGATGGTTTCTTTTCTTGCTTAATATGCATTTGCTGCTACCAGATAATAGTCTTTTTGTAAGAAGAAGAAAAGAAATACCTTCAAAAGGAATTGAGTTTTTTTATGTTACATTCTCTCCCTAATGTGCTAAAAGTGATATATAATGCTCAGTCTTTCATTAGAAACAAAACTGATAATGATGAAAATGTGCAGCATTCTTCTATAGCTGCTCTCTTTTCATATTCTTGAGTGAAATATTGCAGGGTGGAAAAAAAATGTTTTTTTTTTCTTTTTCTTTTTCCATAGGTATGCTGGCTTTATAAAGGGGAAACACACACACACACACATACAGGCACACACACAAATAATTTTGCAAACATCCTTTCCAAAAACATCTATTCTTGATGCATATACGTTATAAATATGTATTCCATGTCTCTGCCACAAACAACTATCTCTCTTTTACGTTCACGCGCTGTAGTAGAAGAGACTGAGACTACAGTATGTGTGTGTTCTGCACAAGAGAAGTTGGAGCTAAGTGTTCAGGGGCCAGTTTCCCATGGGAACATGTAACATGACCTATGACCAGAGGTCAGAGGCTGTTTGAACTAACAGGGTGTCAATACGCGACCTTATCACAGACAAACACAGATCAAATGGTATATTAACTCCGAACAAGGTCTTGTTTTGAATTTAGTTTGATGAACTGACAAGATTACACATTTTATAAACATGATCCTATTTATAGTTATGCTGCTTCAGAATTTAAGGACAAAATGCAGTATAACAATGGTCATTTCCATCATCTTATGACAGAAAGATCCAAGATGTTATACAAATACATTTTTACCATCTTTACCAAGTCAAATCCAGCAGACTGGGGATCACCTTAAATAAAACTGCACACATATGTTCAGATAAGATTTTATTATTGTTGAATAGTCCCTTTATTATGACACAATGTGCCATCAAGGGCACATATCACTGTCCTGCATGGAAATGAACATAATCAGAAGTGGTCTATGAAGAAAGTACAATCATGCGGAAACCAAGGGTATTTAAGGAACAATCTAACTGATGGATATAAAATATATTTCTTCTTTTATCCAGAATAATGTTCAGAATGTGCTGCCTTCATTCCAATCAGTTTTACATTTCTGAAAAACAATGCAGAGTTACGTAGTTTTAATTAGGAACATAGCCTGGCTTTACAGCAACATGTGGGCGGACCTGGAGGTTGAAGTGCTCCCTGAATGCAATGTGCATCATCAGCCTAATACAATTTAACAGAGAAAATTAGGTCTGCTGGACCTGAGGCACGCAGGAGAACAGGATTCCTGAAGCTAGATGATGCAGATTCCAGTAGCCTGTGTTTGTATGTGTGTATGTTTATATAAGTGCATTTGCTAGAGTTTAGAACCACAAAAGAATTGATTATAGAAATATGTTTGTTACTGTATTCATTCTTATATTTGGGGGAGTAGAAAGGAGAAAAGCCCTGAGAGGAAACAATGATGTAGGCTGCAGCCCCTTTGTCCTAGTTTGAGCACCACATTTACCAAAGTGCATCAAAGTGTCAGCAATTCAAACATGAAAAATGGATGAAGACAATGGTGCACTTCTCACAATTTTTTAATAAACTGTCAATCAAACCGCTGCATGAATGACTCTAATATCATATGATGCAGCATTCTATATCAAAAATCCTTTCAATGCTGATACCTCCTCTCGCGCCATCTCATTAACACTATCATCATTTGGACATGAAAGGAGAATGCTGCACCATTGCCAAGGAAAAACCTTGATCTCTGAGCATTTGCATTAGCCACCTAGTTCCACTGGATGTATGTGCGCGTTATCAAGGTGCTCTCTGATTGGAAGGCACTGAAAAGCTGGCATTGTGCTAATGCTCAAAGCAAGCAGGCTCTCCTCCTTTCCCCTCCAAACACTATCACACTCACTTGGTGGCACTAGGGGGCAGTCCTCTCTGTTAAGAAGGCATCTACAGCAAGATTTTCAATAAGGGAAATGGGGCACATTAAGTATATATATTAGAAAGACCTTAAGCTGTGCAGTTTACATACAGTGTACACAGTGCACATAGAGTTGTATGACTCGTGCTAATTCATTTGGGATATACCATTAATCCGTTTGTTGTTTTTCTAGTAAATCATGGACTACATATACAATACAAAAGACAAACTATAAAATACACTCATGTTGAGACAATAATAAACTGCACTCTGCCCACATTAGCTTTATTCTTAGTTAAAAAAGCCAAGATATATTAGGAATAATATAATTTGTATAATATATATAAAACAAAAAAAAAGGGGGGGTCCAAAAAGTACTACTTAATTTAAGCACTAAATATGTGGATACATGCACACACACATACACACACTTGAAGGAGTTATACTATAATGCCATGTCTGTGGCAGTGTCTGTCAAGCGGCTGCTAATTAATGGGCCTACAACAACGGAGCACAGAGACCCCAGAGGAACAATGTTCATCTAGATATGAATCAATGTAAAAGCAGCAGTGATTACCACAAAGGCAGTCAGCCATTTCATATTTCTAGCACAAGGCAGTGGACCTCAAATTTTAACCATGAGATTGAAATTTACTTTGCTTGGTGAGAAGCTTAATCTCTTTCTTTTCCCTCGCCGTTTTCCCGTTTTGCCTATAAATGGTGCACATTTAACTCATTTTGTTACATTATAATACACAGACAACAACATTAATGAATATTTTCCAAATGTGGGGATTTGAATGTTTAAGAATTAGTGGCTATATCAGTGGGATAACATGAACAAAAGTAAAAATAAATTTGGTCCTCCACAATGCTAGGCTTTCTTAAGTGTTCCTCATGTGCCTAAACCTTGTTGTCTATTGTTATTCTCCTCTATCAGCTGATACAGACAAACCCGCATCCATACAGATTATATATTTGATGCAAACAAAATCTTCACACCTCCTGTGTTATTCTCCTCAGCTCATTATTGTTTGTTATGAAAAATAGCCTCCTGTTGTATCTCAGCACACTTTTAGTGTGTCTTGATTTTTCTGTGTTACCCAGTAAAAACATCTGTGAATTGTTCCTGCATTTACTTTAAACAGCACTTTTATCTCAAATGTCTGTAAAACAGTTATTTCACTTATGAATTGTGTCATTACAGGTCTCTCTTTAACACACTTTTATTCTAATTTATGGAATGTATAAAGCATCTTGAAAATGTGCTAAACAAATGATTAAAACTCAGCTATTATCTCCTTTTTTCTGAAATGTCAGTTTTTCACAAGCCTGTCTGTGGCATCTAAAGACAGCTGAATGTTTTATGCTACCTTTTCATTGGTTGTCATGGTAATGAAAAGAAGATAATTCTTGTATTACATTTAAAGTGACTGCTTCATGCTGATTTCAGTCAACCAGTCCAGCATTCAATTCAGTAGGGATTTTTTTTCTTCTTTTTCTTATCTTTGTTATAACTTGGAGGTATCCTTGTATTAAAAAAAAAAAAAAGTAAAATATGTATTTAAAAAAAAAAGGTCAGAGAAGTTCAAGCAATGTGAAGTGTTCTCTTGTAGGCCATTCACTATACAAGGTCAGGCCAGTCATGAAGTATAGTTGCTGCTTCTCCCAATCAACATGAGGGTGGGATCGCCATTCTGTGGCAGACAGAAAGCACACCATTATCGTGTCACCTCTCCAGAAGCTTCCCAGTTCTTCTGGCAGCGCTGGGGACAGAGAGGAGGGAGGGTCTGTGCTCCCTTTCCTGAAGCGGAGCTCCATGACACTCTATGGAGAGGGGACGTCGGTGAATAGGCCCCACTCAAGAGGAATAAAGAAACCTCTCCATTGGTTTGTTTTGGAAGCTGTCTTATTGATCTGTCTACCTATGAATGAATGCATCGGCCCAGTTTTCCTGCTCATGTGGACAATGGCACTTAAGGCCTGCATTAACTGGCCCAATGTTATTCCCAGAGAATGGCGTGCATTAGGTGGAGTATGGGAGCGTTCATCATTTCATCCCTCTGTAACTCCACTAACCTTTCCCACACGAACAGCAATGCCAGGGTAAAAAAAACCCAACAAAAAACAAATAAAAAAAATCAATGGCCAATGACTGCCTCAATCAATGCTAGTTTGCACAAGAGCACGTTCCATAATTACAGTGATGCTGAAACACAATTACAGTATTATTAAGCACCTTCATACAAACACTAAAAAAAAAAAAGACCCATTAAGAAGCCACAGTAAAAACCTGTACTGGTTTAGAAAGAGGTGCTCATGTGTTTTTAGTCTCCAAGTACAGAATAAAGCAGTGGGGCTTCAGAAAGGGAGATCTGCATCAAAACATTTTGTAAGGATTGAAAATGTGTATTTGATTGGATACATATCATAATTTTCTTCAAGCACGTTCAAGCATGAATTACCCTAACAAGGCCATAGCACAAAAAACTGCTCAGAATTAAAAGCCAAAAAGAAACTGCACTTTGAGTTAAGGGTTTTTTTTTTAAACACTCTTATCTTGGTATAAAATTAGTCAAATTCCCTTAATCCCTGCAAAAGCATTATGTGCCTGGTAGACCATTTAATGCACAGCTAAAACAAATCAGTTTTGCAAAGCACATGTATGCCGAAAAAGTACTAATTGCTCTCAACCACATTTCAAGGATGTTTACTCCGCTTGGTATGATTCAGAAGGATGGAGACTTAAGGAGGTTCAACAAGGAGAGACAGTGAGTTTTCTTTGAAGCATCATTTGTGAAGTTATCAGTTACCTCTTACTAGGGCCAGAGTACCAGCACAGTTCAATAAGAATACTGACTTGCTGTCATGTATTGACTTAAAAAATTGATCAAAGTGAACATGAACGTATTAAATAGCCACACTCAGATTTTCTCTTTGGCCACTCAGGAACAACTACCAGCATTAAATTATTGTTACCAATAAATCCATCTGAAATACTTCTTAAAATGACAAACGCCCCCCCACAATAAAAGCAATAGATCCTTGCACTGAGTGTACTAGTATTACCAATCACATGTAAAGCTTCATAAACAAACCCATCTCTCTGTTGTGCTTTTGCTGAGGCTATATGGTATATGAAACTAGGACCACTACAAAAATAAAAAAACAAACAAAACAATTTATTTAAGACAAAAACTAAAACACAAATAAACATGAAAGAACAACAATGTGTGTAATTTACTTTATGAACTCAACAATGAATAATAAACACTTTCAGTGGTAGCAAAAAGAAACAATGCCTCATCAGGCCAGTTAATTCTGAATGCATCCCAGCTACCTGTGAACTGAAATAACCACACTACTAAGAAAAAAGGTTAATTTGCAACTGATTTATCAAACACATTCTCAAAACTGATTTAAGTTATCAAGCTCTAATAAATTAAAGTGTCTACTGTTAAAATCAGTAATGTTTACAGGCCTCAGCATGTGCAATAAATACAAAAACAAAGACAAATCAATCAATAAAAACAGTCACTAGGACAAATTAGATTTTGCTTGACAGATTGAACAGATGGTAGCAGACAGGTAAAGAAGCGCAGGGGCGTAGGGATAGGAGGTGTTAATTCAACACACTATACAAATCATTTTCCTGAAAACAGTCCAGAAATTAGGCAGGATTGATACATTCATTATGTGCATATTCTCCATCATTTAAACGAGACAAACGGAAACTAAGACTTTCAAACATCAGGAGCGAACAATGTGATATGCTGCTGCTTGACCTTGTAAAATGTGTTCCATACAAAACATCATGGCAAACTAAAATGCCAGAGAACCACAAGACAGCGTGACCTGCAATTAATCTGGCACCACGTACCCTACATTCGTGAAAAGACTGGACAATCAAGCAGGCCCAGTGCATCATCAGCACAGTGACTGTGCGTACATTTACCAAGAATTACAGCAGATGGTGTAAATATCGCTATGTCTCGTTGTGAACCAGAACTAGTGATTCCCTCTTTATCGGTATGGATCAACAGAAAACAGAAGGCCGCAGAGTTGCAGTCCATTTGTAGTTTCAAACACCAAATCTACAGCCATTGGAACAGGACGAACAGACTCACTTGGCACCGTTTTAAAAATCAGTCAGCTTTTACAAAGCAACAATTTGATCCATTTAAAAAAAAAGAAAAACAAAAGTTGCTCTCAAATGAATTAAAAGCAATGGCTGGGTAAAAACAAAAAAAAAGGAAAGCAGAACATAAAGGCAGTAGCTTATCAACAGTAGTTGACATCATCTCTTCATCACAATGCCCTTTCAGATTACAGCCGACCTACAGCAGAGATCCTCCACATGCTGACAGACGCGTTCACACGAGCACAAACCTAGGCTGAGCCCTATGTGCTGTCCTCCCTTTGGATCATCACAGCTGCTCAAAAAGAGCTTGAAATTTTCTCACTGCTTCTAAAAATGGCTCAGTTAAAATCAGGGAGGTTACAATGCAAATTAAAACATCACATAGCCATTGAAACGCCTCTTATTTAAAAACCTTTGTCCTTGATGATGCATTTATATACATCAGTTTCAAGTCCATGAGATTCTCCCCATGAGTTTAACATCTCGTCTTGCTCCTCTGCAGCTACAACTCTTCCTCCGTTGTCCACTCTCTAACCCTGGTTGGCTGACAGTGCTTCCCAAGCAGCCGATCTGGGAATGTCCACAGGCCGCCCCGATCTTACAGACACACTAGTCCTTACAGCGAAATTTTAAGACTATTGCAGACACTTCTGTGGTCCGTGGCAATGGAATTTTAACATTTGAGGAAAAACAGCACATTCTCTTTTAAAACACAAATTTTAAAGTTTTGATAAAAAAAAACAAACTGTTGTCTGTTTCCTCAAAACTTCGGAACACAAGAAAGAAATTAAGATGATTTGTCTGCTAAAATTAAGTCACTCAGTTGCCTCCAAAAACATCTCCAGATTAAATGATATTCTGTGATCTAAATGAAACTTCTAAATAATGTATCAGAGGGAAGTTATCGCTATGATAGACTGATATGTATTAGAATATACACAGCTGGCAGTTTATTGGGTACACCTATCTAAAATTAATGCAGTCCAGTACTATATAGAGACATGGTTCTGTTACTCAGCCTACGGTCATGGTCAAAAAAGGGGGTGGACAAAATAGAAATACCTGTCAGTATAAAGCTATACACCAGAACAACAGGACCACAAGCTGCATCTCCAAAAATAGTCTCTGTCGACAACTGACAACATAGATATTAACTTCACATTTTTTCCAGAATACGTCAGTGATTCATTGCCAATATAATTTTAAAGGGGACTTATTAACCGCTAAAGATAGAAGGAAGTTTCTAATGAGGACAACAATCTGAAATTTTGGTTCCAACTAACATGCATGAAGTTGTAAAAGAATGCATTTAGGGCTTTCTAAAGCAAAATACATCATGAATCTGAAGATGTTGGTGGATCAAACTCATACGATCTGAACTTTCCCCATTGGATCCCCTTAAACTGGTGGAACTGAAAAGAACTGCCATACCGCATTTTAATGTTTAAAATTAACTAATCAGAGATACAGTATCATTAAGATTTCATACAGCGAACTGGATCAGTTACTCACTTTTATGTCAGTACACTGACAATAATCTTCTAATTCGTACTTTAGTCTGTCCATTAAGGTTACAAACGTTGCTCTCCAAATAAAAGGTAGAGGTCATAGTAGCAAAAACAATGCTGAGAGTTCACAGAGTCATCTGTGGAGGAAGCACTAGACGTTGAACCAGGAGTTCAGATGATATGATCAGTCATTAAGAGGTGGATAAAAGGAGGGAAGAACAGGCCTCAGTTGCTGCCACTCAGTCCTTTCTGACCAGGTTGAATATACAACAGTCCTGTGGGGGTCTGGCTGCTGCTGCTGGGTTGCTGATGCTATGCCGCCATAAGATACTGATGGTAAAAGAGGCCAAAGAGGGAGGTGGAGAAGAGGCAGGCAGCAATCCACCAAGTAAAGAAGGAAAAGAGGCCTCGGAAAAGCATGGGGCTGAAGACAGTCCGCAGGCCTCCCAGGGCCACTGACAGCTGGTCTACTGATGCCCGAGCTCCTGTTTCTACCACTGAAGCTGGTGTTGGGACTGCTATCTGTGCTGCCCCCGTTACCGAGTCTGAGTTCATTTCATGGGTGCAGGGCAGGTCTTCTTCAGGATAGACCCACCAGGAGTGTCCACCTGTAACACAGACAGCAAGGTAGCTAGAACTTCCAGAAAGCATGGATTCTCTAAACTGGATAATCATGCAGTGCATGACTCACCTAAGGTTTTTAGCAGCAAAGTTGTATGCAGCAGCATCACCAGCGGTGCCACATACTGTAGTGCGATTACACATAGGTAGTAAAAAACACGTGCAACCTGGGAGAAGAATACCATTACTATGGGCTACAACAAATTAAAGCATTTTCTGAGACCTGGAGGTTCAACACTAAACAGACCACAACTCTTTCTAGTGTACAAATAGGTGCCATATTCTAACTATGGTTAATGTAAATTGATATTTCCCACTGTGCACATCCTGGCAAGAGTACAAGTTGTATCATAGGAGAGGCTGGTCTGCATGACACCATACGGCTAATATTTAGTTGGGTAGCATTTCTAAAAGTGAATGATAGGAGCTGATTTGACTGACCACAGCTGAAGTCAGTCTTAAAAACAATCACAGATAATGTATTTAATTTTCAGTTGCACCACATGTGGGGTGCATGCCTGTTACATAAGGCTCTATGCACTGATGATTATGTTTTGTGCATCTTTCTTTACATTACAAAGTGAGGGCCCTAATTATGTCTAATTGCTTTTAATAAAGGGAAATTGGTTTACGCCTACATTTCTACAACTCTGTAAATCCAGCTAAAAGCCTCCAAATATGTAATTAGGTTACTACTGAATTACAGATCTAAACAACACTCTGATTTTGCATGGCGTGTGTTCAAATAGATAAGTATACATTTTTTACATTAATACTGAATTGCAGTTGGGGATAATCAACATTTCACACACCATCTTCTGCAGATCAACAGTACTTATACGCCCCGCCTCCTTCTTCATCTGGTCTACACCCTTCTGGGCCAGGTTGAGGTAGGCCTGCAAATGATGTCTTATCATAGCGAGCCGGAGCGTACACATCAGTATGATGGCCCATAACCGCAGCGTATCATATGTCTGCTCAGTCATCCTGATAGTAGTAGGAAGACAAGGATTGGAGTGAGATGATAAAGGGATGACAGCTTTGCCGGCTTGCAAACTCAACATGCAATTGAAATTAGAGGTTTAGATACACGTTAGCAAATACATTTAAATTGACATTTAATCCTATAGCCAATCCCTCTCTTTGGTCAGTTAGGAACACTACTTTATTTTAGGAATGTGAAATGTCAGAATAATAGCAGAGAAAAAGATTTATTTCAGCTTTCATTTCTTCCATCACGTTCCCAGTGGGTCAGACGTTTACACACACTCGGTTAGTATTTGGTAGCGCTGCCTTTAAATTGTTTAACTTGAGTCAAATATTTCAGGATGCCTTCCACAAGCTGCTCACAATAAGTAGCTGGAATTTGAGCCCATTCCTTCAGACAGAACCAATGGAACGGAGTCAGGTTTGTAGGATTCCTTGCTCGCACCCACTTTTTCAGTTCTGCTCATAAATTTTCTATTGGTTTGAGGTCAGGCCTTTGTGACGGTCACTCCAATTGACTTTGTTGTCCTGCAGCCATTTTGCCACAACTTTGGAAGTCTGCTTGGGTCACTGTCCATTTGGAAGATCCATGTGTGACCAAGCTTTAACTTCCTGGATGATGTTTCAATATATCCACACAATCTTCTTTCCTCATGGTGCCATCTATTTTGTGACGTGCCCCAGTCCCTCCAGCACCACCACAGCATGATGCTGCCATCCCTGTGCTTCACGGCTGGGATGGTGTTTTTCGGCTTTCGAGCCACTCCCTTTTCCTCCAGACATTACAATGGTCAATATGGCCAAACAGTTCAATTTTTGTTCCATCAGACCAGAGGACATTGCTCCAGAAAATAATATCTTTGTCCCCATGTATAGCTGCAAACCGTAGTCTGTCTTTTTATAGTGGTCTTGGAGCAGTGGCTTTTTCCTTGCCGAGGAGCCTTTCAGGTTATGTCGATATAGGTCTTGTTTTAGTGTGGATACAGATACTTTGGTACCCGTTTCCTCCAGTCTCTTCACAAGGTCCTTTGCCGTTGTTCTGGGATTGATTTGTACATTTCAGACCAAAGTACGTTCATCTGTAGGAGACAGAATGCGTCTCCTTCCTGAGTGGTGTGAAGGATGCGTTGTCCCAAGGTGTTTAGACTTTTGTATTGTTTGTACAGATGAACGTGATACCTTCAGAAGTTTGAAAATTGCTCCCAAGGATGAACCAGACTTGTGGAGGTCCACAATTTTTTTCTGAGATCTTGGCTGATTTATTTTGATTTTCCCATGATGTCAAATGAAGAGGTAATGAATTTGAAGACAGATGTTAAAATACATCCACAGGTGCACCTCTTATTGACTCAAATGATATCAATTAGCTTATCAGAAGCTTCTAAAGCCATGACATCATTTTCTGGACTTTTCCAAGCTGCTTAAAGGCCCAGTCAACTGAGTGTATGTAAACTTCTGACCCACTGGAATTGTGATACAGTGAATTAATCTATCTGTAAACTGCTGGAAAAAATACTTGTGCTGTGCATAAAGTACATGTCCTAACCGACTTGCCCAAATGAGAATTTGTTAATACAGTATGTCATCTGCGGAGTGGTAAAAAAACAAAAACAAAATCTGTTTAATGACTTCAACCTAAGTATATGTAAAAGTCTGACTGTGCCATGTATGTGCTCCATCAATTGGAAGGCAGGTAGTGAGAATTAGACAGAAAGGAAATATAGTAATATGAACAGAGTCAAGAACAACTCATAAGCAAAAGTAAGAGGTGGTGAAATTGGGAGATAAAAAGGTGAAAAGGGGGTATTGTGACATAAAAATCAAACTTAATCAGATTTGACCTTGATGGTATCACAGTCACTGTCGGCAGCAGAAGGAAGTCTGACATGACAGAATTCAAATTTATGCAACAAATGAATGATGGTATCTTACAATGAACAACCAGCTAACAAATGACAGCAGTTAGAGACAGACTAAGGCATGACTAAATATGTTTACAGTCAAATTTTTACCCAAGTAGACAACATGCATATTGTCACTTCATCTGTGAGCTCAACACATTCCTTATCTCATTGAACTGCTGTAAATTCCATTTTCATAACTGCTGTTGCATTCTTTATAACAATTGTCCAGTACAAAAGCGTACTTTTATTTTCATAGTTTGGCAGTGTTGTCCCATCTCTCCTGTTTGAATGGCTGGCAATTAGCTTGCCAGATACCAAGGGAGTCCAACTGGATTACCAGCCAAGTACAGATCAATCATCAAGAAGTATGAGGATATACAGTACACCGATCGGCCACGACATTAACTAACCCATCTACATTGTGTAGGTCCCCCTCGTGCTGCCAGAACAGCTCTGAACTGTCAAGACACGGACTCCACAAGTGTCAAGACCTCTGCAGGTGTCCTCTGGTATCTGACACCAAGACGTCAGCAGCAGATCCTGTATGTCCTGCAAGTTGCAAGGTGGGGTCTCCAGGGATTGGACTTCCATCGGATTGAGAACTGAGGAATTTGGAGTCATTGTTGTGCTCCTCGAACCATTTCTGAACCATTTCTGCAGTGTGGTCAGAAGCATTATCCTGCTAAAAGAGGCCACTGGCATCAGGGAATACTATTGCCATGAAGGGGTGTACTAGGTCTGCAACAATGCTTAAGTGGGTGGTCAAAATAACATCCACAAGAATGTCAGGACCCAAGGTTTCCCAACAGAACACCACCCAGAACATGATACTGCCTCAGCTAGTCTTTGCTCCCCAAGCACATCAGTGAGCCTTGGGCGTCCATGAGCCCGTCGCCAGTTCACAGGTTTTGGTAGGTACTAACCACAGCATAGTGGGAACACACCACTAAACCTGCTGTTTTGGAGATGCTCTGAGCCAGTTGTCCAGCCATCATAGTTTAACCCTTTTCAAAGTCACTCAGATCGTTGTCCTTGCTCGTTTTTCTTGTTTCCAACTCAACAACTTGTGTACAAAACAACACAATTTCAAAACACATTATAGCTTTTTTTACTCACAGCTGTAAAATGCAGAACCCACTGTATTTATGAATAGGAGACATGTTACCGAGACCACAAAAGACAGTGTATACATGTGATGTTCCTTATCGCAACATATCTTGCATGCAGTGTACATCTGAATCAAGCACTTAAAAAGGCTGTTAGAAACACATAATGACTTCAACTTACAAAGGCACACTCTCCTTTCCCAGAGTGGGGTTCATTATGTAGTCCTTGGTAATGGGCTTCACCCACAGCAGGACCATAATAAGAGGGGAAAGGAAGTTGATATGAAGCAGAGTCCTATAGAAACAGAGAGAAGAACCAACTCAAAAAATAAAATAAATAAATTATCATCAGTGAATCAGTGCATTAGGAAAATTATTTCATTGAAATCTTCACTTTGTAATCTCAATGTGAAAAAAAACATAGCAAGAAATAAAGTCCATATCATCAATGCAACTTTCGCTGAGAGGGGTGAAAAGATAACCAAGGCACATATTTTAAACGGCTTGGAGATAATCCCTGCTAGTCTGAGGATGTAAGCTCATGACAGAGAGTGAAATGAAGAGAAGACCATTTTGGAGAGCCTGCTATGCCAAAGTGGATTATCTAGATGCAACGTGCTCCCTGCTCTGCACCCTCTATCATAGCTGGAGACACACCACGCAGTGAGTTCTCAAATAGAAATCTTCTCCAACTGAGGAAGTCTTCGTCTGACTCACAGGGTGCTTTCTCGTATCTGACACACTCTGAATAGTAGGGGACAAGTACAATTGTGCTATACATGGATTCATGGTGCTCCAAGTTAGGGTAGCATGATATATGAGTTTGGGGCCACTTTGAGCATTGAATGTATTAAACAAACCTGATATACAACAGACAAATATGTTCAACATTAGATGAAAATGCATGTTTTTAATAAAAAATGTAATCATAAAACTTATTTGCTGCAAGGCTAAACATAAGCAACTGAATTAAGTAAACAAACACATGCTGTCTATTTCTTTTTTTTTTTTAACTGGCCAGTATAGTTGTTTTTGGCAGCCTGTTTTCATTTTAGTTTTAGTCTAGTCTTTGTGTGAAGTTGTCATTTTAGTTTTGATTAGTTTTAGTCACATTCATACTCTTTTTAGTCTAGTCTAGTTTTAGTCAATGAAAATTGTATTTTAGTCGCTTTTTGGTAATGCAATTCTATTTAACCCAGTCAATGTTTTCTTTTCCACTTCTATGTAATGAAAGTTTTTCCAAATGTCATTTCTTCTTTTTCTCCCAATGACGAACCCCGGCTGACCGGCCATCATTCCCTTTCTCTGTGTCAGACTTAACTTTCTTTGTTGTCTTCTTCTAAATAATGCCACGAGTGCGGCTTAAGGAAGTGACGCTGCCTGCATCTGCGCAGTGCGGCTTGATGCGGCTCCTGAAGCAAGACACAGGAAACAGAAATACTGCAAAATAATAACGCGACTGAACGAGACAAAATAACATAACATTTCATTTCGGTCAACGAAAATAGAGACATTTTGGCATAGTTTTTATTTTGTGAACCACATTTAGTCTTGTTTTTTCATCAACAATATTGCATTATACATTTATTTGTAGTCAACGTCACACAACCAGCATTTTCGTTGCGTCTCGTCTCATTTTCGTCACGCGATAAAGGTTCGTTGACGACGATATTTAGTCATAATTTTCGTTGACGAAAGCAACTATACTGGCCAGGAGAGCACCTTAAAGGTCATATTTCAACCAAGGTTGTTTTGACTTTCCAGGTTCTGCATTGCTAATATTAAGGACAAGAAATAATACAATCTGTTCAATGGAAATAAAAAAAAAAAAAAAAAGAAAAATCCTGTGTACACCAAAGAAAAGACAGTTGTAGTGGACTCACTGTGTAAATTTGGTTGTGGTTAGATTGAGTGCATCTAGGTGCATCTGTGCCAATCGTAAACCAGGGAAAGTTAGAAAAGCTCCAATCAGAGAGCAGAGCAGGGCCAGGATCAGCTTGAAGGTGAGTTTAGATATGGGACCCCTGTGAAAGCGAAACAACAATGATACTACTGTACTTTCATGAATCATAAAGAATTCATAAAGGCAGAGTAAACAAAAACGATACAGTGGGAATACTGATATTCTACTTACTGGGACTCTAAGCCCTGGTGCACCAGAAACTGTAAAGCACTGTCAGAGAAGTTTGCAAAACCTAAAAATAAAGACGTTTGACAGTGACTCACTCACTGTGGCCAAGAGCAATAAAATCTGGCTGCTACTAACGGGAATATCTGTGAGTAAAGCATGGCAGAGCACTCACCTGTCTCCAAACCGAACTCCAGGTAGTTTTCAGTGACAATGAGAATGGCCATGGCTTTGACAAAAAAGAAGAAAGCAAACGTAATACAAAGTGAGCGCTCGCCTCCTTCCTCCAGCTTGAAGTAGTGGGCCGTTAGAGAAAAAAGGGTCTTACTGTAGAGACGGAGTCAAGGAAAAACATCGAGAAACACAAGGGCATATAAAGCAAATTCAAACTGTTCTGCAGATCCATTTCATTGCATTTACAAGTTCAAGGGCAAATACAGGGTGGGCTGGGGAAAAGGAGCCTGCCTCCGGCATTCCAAACTTTAACAAATGAGGAAAATTCAGTTACAGTAGGCAGGCTCCTTTTCCATGGCCCACGTGGTATAATAAGTCTCCGCAATCATCCAACAAAACACACACAGCTGTTTGATGCACAAAATTTTCTTGTCTATACACAAGCTTGTGCATGCTTACAGGCCCCGTGTGAACTGTCCGCCTCTTAAACCTTGCCCCCCTGAAAGTGTGGGTCTTTAACACCAGTGTGTGCAGAAGTATTTTACTCTGCCTTTTCACTCCTTTCAGTCCATTTTAAAAATAGTCTTCAATCTAATGGATTCTCCTTTCTTCCTCTAACCCTTATTCAGTTTTGTGAACACAGCTGTATGAACACCAGTCAGGTCAAAGCCAGTATGACGCTGAAGAGAGAAACACTGATGTTTGTGCTATCATGTAGTGGCCTACAATTAATATAGTCCTGAAATGGCTTGTCAGTGTTGGCCAGTGGTGAGGTGGTCACATTTATACATTTCAATAAACTAAAAGAGTTTAACATATCATCAGAGACGAAAGAGAAAAAATGAAAATCAAGTGTCCCATTAACACATACACTAAAATGCCAAAAGTATTCGCTCACCTGCCTTCACATGCACATGAACTTGAGTAACAACCGATTCTTAATCCATAGGGTTTAATATGATGTTGGCCCACCCTTTGCAGCTATAACAACTTCAACTCTTCTGGGAAGGCTGTCCACAAGGTTTAGCAGGGTGTTAATGGGAATTTTTGACCATTCTTCCAGAAGTGCATTTGTGAGGTCAGACACTGATGTTGGATGAGAAGGCTTGGATTGCAGTCTCCGCTCTAATTCATCCCAAAGGTGTTCTATCGGGTTGAGGTCAGTCAAGTTCTTCCACACCAAACTCACTCCTCCATGTCTTTATGGACCTTGCGCACCAGTGCAAAAAGCAGTCATGTTGGAACAGGAAGGGGCTATCCCCAAACTGTCCCCTACAATGCTGGGAGCATGACAATGTCCAAAATGTCTTGGTATGCTGAGGCATTAAGAGATCCTTTCACTGGAACTAAGGGGCCAAGCCCAACTCCTGAAAAACAACCCCACATCATAATCCCCACCTCCACCAAACTTTACACTTGGCACAACACAGTCAGACAAACACCATTCTCCTAGCAACTGCCAAACCCAGACTTGTCCATCGGATTGCCAGACAGAGAAGCGTGATTCGTCACTCCAGAGAACACGTCTCCACTGCTCTAGAGTCCAGTGGTAGCGTGCTTTACACCGCTGCATCCAACGCTTTGCATTGCACTGGTGATGTAAGGCTTGGATGCAACTGCTTGACCATGGAACCCCATTCCATGAAGCTCTCTACACACTGTTCTTGAGCTAATCTGAAGGCCACATGAGGTTTGGAGGTCTGTAGCTACTGACTCTGCAGAATGTTGGTGACCTCTGTGTACTATGCGTCTCAGCATCTGTTGACCCCGCTCTGTGATTTTACATGGCCTACCACTTCGTGGCTGAGTTGCTGTCATTCCCAATTGCTTCCACTTTGTTATAATACCACTAACAGTTGACTGTGGAATATTTAGTAGCGAGGAAATTTCACAACTGGACTTATTGCACAGGTGGCATCCTATCACGGTACCACACTGGAGTTCACTGAGCTCCTGAGAGCGACCCATTCTTTCACAAATGTTTGTAGTAGACTGCATGCCTAGGTGCTTGATTATATACACCTGTAACCATGGAAGTGGTTGGAACACCTGCATTCAATGATTTGGATGGGTGAGTGAATACTTTTGGCAATATCGTGTATATTGAGCCAGTGTCAAAAATTTCCCCACTGTGGGATCAATAAAGTACCTACTCTATACATATAATGCTGTGGCCTCACAGCAAAAAGATTCTAGGTTTGAGCCATGACTGACCCGGTGCCTTTCTGTGCAAAGTTTGCATGTTCTCCCTGTGCTGAGTTGGGTCTTCCCGGGTACTTCGGCTTCCTCCCACAGTCCAAAGACATGCAGCTTAGACTGGCGACTCTAAACTGCCTGTGAGTGGGGATGTCTGTCGCTGTGTCAGCCCTGTGATAGACTGCCGACCTGTCCAGGGTGTATTGCACCTCTCACCCAAGGTCAGCTGGGATTAGCTCTAGCCCCCCTACAACCCTCTTTAGGATAATATATATATATGTTCATCTTCCTAGTCCCATTTCATCTTTCCCCAGTCTGCACTTTTCCAAAGCATATCAGCCTGTTGGGCTGTGAAAACTGGGTCTCCAATGTCGGCAGGAAATGACTCGCCATCTGACTGTGGTGATTCGGCCCTGTCCAACAGCACTAGAAAGACTGGTCCCCGTAATTGGTGGCAAGGATAATGCATATTATTTAACCATCATTCAGCGTAGCAAAATAACAGGTAGCTGTGGAGCATAGAGGTGCTGGTAGTCAAACCAGCAGGTCATTTTATAGCTTCTCACCAATGTTATTTTTGACACTTGAATATGATTTTGTTGTAGTCTTAGTCTTTTGACCAAAATGCATATTAGTTTTAGTAAAATATTTGCCTTTTGATTTTTGTTAGTTTAAATTAATAAAAATTAAACATTTTAGCCTAGTTCTCATCATTTTTGGTATCTACATCTTCTTAATTCTGGCTGTGTACAATTTACATGGTTTCTATCCATCTATCATGAGGTTTGTGGAAGACTGTGTTTTATTCATACAGTGCCCCTCTGCTCCGCAGAAGTTGGACTAACTCACATTTGTACTAAAATACTCTTCACTGGGTTCAGCTTGAGAGGTGACGCTAAATCCTTGGATAACATTAAAACAGTGAGATCTCTGCAGCAAACATTAGAGATGATTTATGGTTGACTGCCCATATTAATCCTGGAACTGACAGCAACACAAAAGATATCCAACTAAAAGGAACATTAATGTTACATCTAAATCTAACATGTTTCATGTTAAATTATCCTACCATCAGCATGCTGCTGCTTTTTCCTAGTTTGTCCCAGTAGTTTTTGTGTGTAATTCTCTGGACTGTAGATGAATGTGATTCATAAACCTGTTTCTTCCAAGAAGCACTAATGCCAGAGACAGAGTGTTACTGAATGCAAGATGGTAGTGAAACACATCAAGCAGCTAATTCACCTACCGAACTAGAGATATTTTGGCTGGTGGAGGAAAGTGTTTTAGTGATCAGCACCTACAGTTTGTGATTCTACAGGTGCAGCGGGTCCATTCGTCCATCATTCACATTGTTTACAAAAAATGTAAAACATTGTCATAGTTCTCGTCATCACACATTACTTTTTATTTAGTTTTGTTTTTGTCCCAACAGGTTGCCAAGGAATATTTTTATCATAGTTTTCATTAAAATTGACACTGACTGCTGCTCTCTCTTACAGACAGAGGGATCCCAACCTACAGCCTATTTAGGACAGGGGTGAACAATGTGATGAGTGCCAAGGAGAGTCCATAAAAAACTGGTTTGTTCAGGTGAAACCTCACAGATGTTACCAATCCACCCATCGACATGGTGTATAAATATGTTTTACAAATTAAATACCAGTTTACACTACAATATTGATGAGACAGTGTGATAAGAAAACAGGATAACCGAGAAGAGTGACTGATGTAAGGATACATTACAAATGAGAGTACTAGCAGGCACCAGACCACACTGATGTTCATCTCTCCTGAGGGCTGAGCCACACTGTAGTATAGTTCTGTTATCAGATAGACCACAGTGGCGGCTACTGTGAAATCCACCAACCACTGGAATTCTGGGAAGTAGTGCAATGCTGGAGGAAGGGATAAAGAGTATAATTAAATTCATATATTCAGTAATAAAGTATATACAGCATAGTACACACAAACAGTAAAAGTGTAGTTTAGTAAAACTTATAGTAGGTGTTTGTCATCTTGGATTTATACCTAATGTGTCAACTTCTGTGATGGATTTTGTCTCCAGCTGCAAGTCTATGTCCTTGGGAACTGTTAGCGGCTTATTGTCTATGTGACCATTGTACTTCCTATAGAGCAAAGAGGACAGAGCAGCAACAACAACTACAGTCAGAAAACCACAGTATGAAATGTGAAAAGGCAATAAACTCTTAACATTTTTAACTGGTGTAGAGAAAAAGCATAATATTGAGAAGAGATCCTTTTAATAGGACAGCTTTTCTAAGGTAAATAATGGTAAATTTAGTAGTTGGCAGACATCTACTTATTTTTACTACTAATACTAGTGCACTCTTCTGTGACCAAGGGGGGAAAATACATAGGCTGTACTGAACTGCTAACAGCAGGTGAATGGAGAACTGTTCTTTAAACCTGAAGAACTGTCTGGTGGGCCTCTTCAGTTCTGGGCTTTGTTTGTTCAGCCTTGTGTGCGCTGGATTCACAGCACAATATCACTGTAAGACTCTAGGGCCAAACATGCCCTGAACAGATTTCATCTCTGAGGCACCTGACAGGAGAAAAGGAGCTCAGCTTCACCCCTCACTGAGGGAGTCAAGCCGTTAACAAAGGGAACTTAGCTGCATGGCACGAGCTGGCAAAAGGACAGTAGTCCATCTTCTTCTTCAAGGGATTATTGAACATGTGGTGATAGAGAGCACCGACCTACCTCATACAGGGTCAGAGAAAGGACTGCACCAAGAAACCGCTTTAAGTTAGGAGCTGGACACCATGTGGAACAGAAAGGATTAACTTTCAGTTGTGACTTCAATTTAAATTCACATTTAAAAGTGGAGTCCAAAGGAAACAGCACTGAATTCACATGTTCAGCATATGGTTCAGTGTCCTGCAGCCCTAAAAACTGAATAACAGTTTTTTTGTTTAATTATTGCAAAGCTGTCTTGAAGGAAGAGCATCTTCCTGAATCAAAGCTCGACATACCACGTTGAAGATTTAATGCCGTTTGGGAAACTTTGATTTCAGAGTGGATGCAATCCTTTTAAACTGTCAACTTCTAAAAGGGCCAAAATACTAATGGCTCCAAAACACCGGACCAACTTTTCTCACATCCACCAGACAGGGCCACTTCTAAGCCAAGCTTCTCTGAGCCCAGATGAAGAGCAATGAAGGCAGAAAACAACAAAAACAGACTTCTGTCTCCTTACTTCAAACAGGCCTTAAATGAGCCACGTAAACACATCAGCTTCATCTCTTCGCCAACATGCCTGTGGTGTCTGTCCATCTCAAGCGTCTGCGTCTCATCTCTTCGTTCCTCTCTGATGAAAGGGGTGCCTTTCGTAACTCCCCTGTGCCGCTACATTTCCCCAACCCCCAAACATTAGCCCTACTTTTATCGTCCCCCCCACCCCAACCTACCTGTCTTTCCTCTTCTGTCCTTTTTGTTTCCCAGCTAAGCTCCTCAACTCATCTTCCGTAGGGTGCTGATACCACCGCAGACTGTGAACAAAGGAAAGAGATGCGACATTAGGCTCAGACGTGGACAGAGGAAGAAAGAGTGAAAAGGAGGAGTCAACAGAAAAGATAGTTCGGAGTTGTGAATGAGGAAACAACACCCTAAAGCCGGATTTGCTGCCCTAACACTGTATCATGTTCATTCTTATGTAAGGAAAGAATAGGAAAGTTATACTGGGCTGGTGAATGAGCTAAAACATACGGTGTAAGAAATATGGAGACATATTAGTCTAAGTAGTGACATAAAAAACCTCAGCAAAATGCTCTTCAAAGCTACAACATTAAATCTTTATTCGATGGACATGTCTCAAAGCCTCGGTTTGTAACGGCTTTAAACTCCCCAACAACATAGATGCACACAAAATAGACATTTTTCCTAGCTTTACTTCAACATAAGCAACTATGATACACATTTTAAAAGCACATCTGAGAGGATTTACAACAGCAAAGTTATCTGTCCTTAAGAACTGAGCTTACAAAAAAAAGGGAGTTAAAAACAACAAATATTTCAGGCACCCTACTTAACTTTGTTTAGAGACCCACATGTCAGAGCATTTTGAGAGGCACAGGACAGAAGGAGGACAGCTTGTATTTTTCCATGTACATGTATTTATTGTGGAAAATTAATTACAAAATATTCTGGAGGGACACCACAGACCTCCTAGTTAGGGCAAATGTTTTGGAAAAATGTTTCAACAGTGCCCTAAAGAAAAAAAAAAAAGATTTATTAAAAGCATTCCAAGCTGTTTACTGAAAAACACATGTGGCACTAATTAGAGGACATTACTCAAGCACTTTTTCATGGACCGTCATCCCAATATTTTGATGCCTTTTAGTAACTGCAGTTATAATTTAATGAACCTTTTTCTTCTTAATCTATCCACACCCTTTGCAACACTGTAGTCTGAGTAAGTATTTTGATCCCCATTATTTTGGGCTATTCCTGAATAGGGATGCACCGACACCGATACCAGTATCGAATATCGGTCCAATACCACCCTCTAGCACTTACACTCGTAAAAGTTGCCTGACACTCAACACCGATACCATTTAACGGCAACATTAGTTTAACCTCATGCTAGCTGAGGAGGTCGTTGGGTGGTAGAGAAGAAATTTCAGGGATATTTTATGGCAAGCAAGAATAGAAAAGCCAGCTGCAAGCTCTGATTCTCTGCTCTGTGTCTGTCTGATGGGGAGGGAAGGGCGCTCACACCTAGCAGACAAGTTGACGAGGAACACTAGTTAGTATCTTACTGCAGCAACACCACTAAATATGTGCAACAAAATCCAACAGTAATATTAATAAAGACAGTAATAAATAAACACTTGCTGAACAAACAGAAGACAACAACAAACTTGCAGAAATGGCATCTTTGCTTTCCCTGTGATCAAAATTCCTGGTCTCGTTTGCATACCAAACCCATACGGTGCTCGTTCTGCTGATTGTAGTGAATTGTAGTGAACAAGAAGAAAACAAACACTAATTTTATATGGTCAACAAAAGGGTCTAATGAGCTCTATGTATGAAAATTAGTTGCATTTTAGTGGACTTGGACGCTGAGACTGAACTGCTCCTTTATAGCAGATCAGGTATATGTCCAGCAGAGAGGACAGGATGAGGCTACACACACACTGGCTAGTTTAAAGGAAGACTGCATCATCTTTAAATTAAACATTTAAATTACCCTTGTGATATTATGTGCTCCTACACTTTGACATTCTGGTCAGGGAGTTGTGAAATCCTTTCATTCTAACAAAGGGTCACACTCCTACGAAGGGTTAAAAACCGCTGTATTACAGGAGGTTATGTAGGAGGCTACGGACATTCAGTCAGCTACATGTTATATTCAACAGGAATGCTGGCAGTGCTGCGTTTATCATATTTTTAAGACCATTTGCACAGCCTCCTGTTAGATAATTCAGTTAATCCCAACCACAAAGTAAATCTCATGAAAATAAAAATTGTCTCTGAGTCAAAATTGTCTCTGAGTCATAGCTATAAAAGGTAATTATAATTTTATACTAGAAACACAGCATTATTATTAAGTACATACATCGTTACCATCAGGTTCTCAAATGCAAGTTTGTACTCGGTCTGGAAAAAAAAAAAAAAAGTGGTATTGTGCATCCTTATTTTTGAAACAAACCTCTTGGATGGCAAGTAAACTGGAGAAATAAAAATGTAACACTTAGAGTAACTATTTGAAATATCACGTACAAGATTCTACATTACCTGCCGCTGCAGAGTAGCCATCTTGCGAAGGAATAATGAGGTATGATTTTTTGAATTACACTGGCCATTACCATGGTAACCACCAGCTGCACACCAATCACACCCTGTGGAAATAGGATGTGGGTTTAATTCACATTTTAATGGTAATTATACATGCAATAAAACATTAAAACATATGGGTTATATTGACTGATCCATATTATATTTACTGAAGCCAAAATGAATAACAGTTTTGTCTATGGCTTTGTCTATTGTTTATGGAATCCTTGGCACATTGCCAAGAAATCTGCTAAGTCCATTCATGGTCCCATAAAGTTAAATCCTTTTGATTTCACAGACAGCACAGTCCTTTCCATTAATTATACAGCCAACAACACTGTGTGAGCTAGATGGTTTCAGCAGCTCTACAAAATACCACAGGAAAGCATGTTTTGTTTGTAAATAGAAGTTATGAAAAGATTAGGCTCCACAACCCTGATTAAGACACAGAGCTCAAACACACAATGACCTTCACTTCTGTATCAATAAACATAAAGGGTGTACTCTCTGAACCCAAGAGTTAAAACGTCAGTGTTATTAAGTTAAACCAAATAACACAAATTAGACCATGTCAGATTCCTCAAAGAAAACTGCCATCCTAAACCCAATATGTATAACATGACAATTTCCAAATGAAATGCCCTAAGAGGTGTAAAACTTAGAGACAACCTGGCATACAGCAGTCGCTCAGGCTATCGGCATACTTATACTGTTGCGCCAGTCTGGCAATCCAGTCCCAAGTGCCTTAACATTTACATGATTCATTCATGAATCTATGACAACTCAATCACCTCTATCCCAAAAATTCTTATGTGGTATCATGGTAATCAACATGGTATGTCTGAGTACCTGCAGAACCTAAAAGGATAAGGCCGGTCATTTCCTTTATTAACAGTATTTTCGACACTCCCCATACAGACTAAAACCAACAATGAATTCTCTCTATTCATGCCTGGATCAACTTATTCATCTGCACCACAGACCGCAGTTGTTGCTTAACAATGATTAAAAACATTACTGAAACACACCGCTGCACTGGGTGGCACGTTTCTTCATTAGCAAACCCAGGCCCTGAGCGTGAGGACCTAGCAGATTCTATGGTAAACAAAGCTGAGAGTTCTTGCTAAATCTCATGGAGCTGACTTCGACTCGTACTAACTCCAGGAAATCATGGCCGCTGGGAGCCTTGATGTTGGCCTGGTGTTTCTTAGTGAAAAAATGTGTCACCGATTGCAGCAGTGAGGTTCCCTGCTGTGTTTTTAATCATTTTTGAACAACAACAAAGATCCATCGCAAAGACGAGCAAACTAAACCAGGACTGACAGCTGACAGACATTAACCGTGAGTAGAGGCAATTCAGTGGCAGATTTAATCTCTGTATGATGGCTGCTGAAAATACTATTAATATAGAGAATGGCCGGCCTTATCCTTAAGAAGTCTCTTGCATAGCTGGTGAAACAAAGTCTAGAATTTGTGGTAGGGGTAGACCTGATGACTTTGGAGTGAGATTTTTCTATACTGTTTCTGCCAAAGAAACTGTTCCTTTAGCCTAGCAGCTTTGGATCTAATAGGTCACTGAAGGGAATGGGGCAAGTCGATGACTGGGACAGTTTTGTGGCAGAAATAGTTTTTTTAATCAGTTATTTAATACATTAAATCAGGAACATTATGGCTTTCACATTTGTTTATCTATGACCCATTTCTCCATATCACTCACTGCAAACAGGAGCAAATATCACTGTAAATTGCCACAGTTACCTAAACACATGTAATGGTAACTATTTTTATTTCTTTTTCAAAGTTTAACTGTAAGCAATTTAATTATTGATTAACCAACTATGTATATGGGCAAATTTAAAGGTGTTAATACAATGTTCAATAAACTAGACACCGTCTGCAACATCTGTCTCAATATTAGACTTGATGTGCTCAGGAGAAAGAACAGCCAGCTCAATATCAACCCAGCACACTCGGATCAATATTCACTTAGGCTTAAGAGGCCAGAATCATTCTCACCATGCTGCGCTTTTATCCACTCACTGTAAGCTAAGGTCTGCATGTTGGCCTATCTCTTTGGCAATCATTGATATCTGTGTCTGCACACACACACACACACACACACACACACACACACACAAAAGCAATTATCTAACTAAACCTAAATAGAATATTTTCTCTTTTCCAATAACAGTTTTATATCTGGGCAAGCACCTGGGCATGTACCAGCTCATCTACACTTGCAAACATGTCACCTGAAGATAAAGCAGCAAATCCTGTAGCCTACTTTGTTTTCTCATCAGTAATATAAACTAAACTAAACCCTGCTGTAACTACTCAACAGTCTAAACTTTCCTTAAAAGGACTATTTAAAATGCTAACTTCACACCGTCTAGTGTTCATCTTAATGGCAATTGGTCATTGGAGCACTAAGGAATATGCCGTTTTTGTTTTCTTACTTACCCACACCTTTAAGTAAATAAGGGCAAAGACACGCCAAGCCAACATCAAAGAACTAGCAGTGACAAAGGCAGACTTTTGTGTCACCTCACATCATCTTCATTGGGACCAAAATGTGGCACTTGATCACACCGCAAAGACTACAGGCAACGGCCAACTAGCATGTTTGTTTTGCGCCTGCATGAGAGAAATAACTCTCCAAACCAGCAGGTGGCAATAGTTTTTATTTGCCATTCAAAACGAGGAAAGGAAGAGCTAGCACTGCAGATATACAAACTGTAAACAAAGCAGCTCTTGCTCACCGCAGATGGTTTTATAGCTGCTTCTAATCGAGAACATGCCTGATAAGAAGTTGCAAATAACACTGGCCTTCTCTGTCCTTGGCCATATGGATAATGGAGTGGGACACACCTCAGCGTTGGCCCGATGGCTGATCACTGGCCTGGTGCGTCAAGGACCGAATGCTGATTAATACAGTGCCTCAGCTCACCATTCCACCCTCTGTCAAGTCCTCTACTTCAGTTAGTTTCAGTACCTGCCTTGTTAGTGAAGCTTCCAGCATCTTTATTTATGCTTTCAGCTTGTTCTCATTTGTTCATTCACTGCTAACAGTAGACTGGAAAATAAGCAAACACTGATCAAAAGAACAACCCTGCATAAAATACTAGTAAAGGTACTGCTCAGTGATGGTTAAACCTACGCCACTCTGCAGTAGGTGCAGGAGAAAGTGAATGACACCTGGAAATGCGAGATGATGAGGCCAGACCTGTACACTAGACCTAGATTCTGGGTTTGTTACAGGGATCCTCAGTGTCACCCAGCATGGGTTAAGCTCCCAAGGCTAAAGTCAGTACCTCTTCTGGAGTCACGGGGGGTGCCATTAATTTGACAATTATACCCACTAAGATGTGAGGCGTGACCAAACAGGACCTGACCGACTCAAGACATTTCTCCATGTGAGTAATGGTCATGCTATATAGGTCAAAAGCACACAGCCTTAGTTTGCTTGGCTGTTGACCATTCTCTGTGGGAGACCTGCACAGATCTCAGTCCTGAGGGAAATTGAGCCAGCATGGACTCTCTTATCTTGCCCATTCTGCTTGTCCCCCTTCTCACAACAACCAAATGAAATCTGTAGGGAGTGAAGAGTGGAAGCTGCAGTGATAACCACCATCTATAAAAGCTCAAACACCTCACTAGTGAAACCACTTATTGACCCAATGCTTTACCAGTTTTATTCATTACATATTCCTTAGTCTATTTAATCCTTCTCTAGCTGTAAATTGTTCAACCAATCAGTGCTGACTAAACTTTTTAATAGAAACATTGCAGTTGTGGTTAGAAACAAACTATAGTGTACTTCAAAAATTGGTCTAATACTAATATTATAGTAAAAGACTAGATTACCACCAGGGTAATCTTCTGTAATATAGGGCTATTGTAGTTTAAGTTGATCTTTTTTTTTTACAGGATATCAAGTGGTACAACAATAAACTGGAAATGTTCATACCTTATTCTATTGATTTGAACAATGAATGACTACTTATCTGACAATCATTTCCACATAACTATTCTTATTTTATACATGTTCTCACTAGTGCCCACTCTTGTACTAGCATTCAGCAGATGGTGGACAGATTATATTATACGAAGAATATAAAGCAAAAAAGGGTAAAAATATGAAAGATAAACACCCGTATTAGAACTCCCCGACTTGTTCATTTTCATTCTATCTTATTGTTAATACTATCAAATTTGCTTGTTTAATACTATCAAATTTGCTTGTTGTGTTACAAACTAACAGTACATATTAAATAACAGTAACATTATAATAAATACAACATTTTTTGATTTTGGTAATGACAAAACATGCATCTGTTGCAACTTGCAGTTAAAATCAATCCTCAGTACGTTCATTATCCATACATTTTCCTGACAGGTTTTACCAAAATACCACATAAAATAAGATCTAGCGTTAATTCACTGAGTGCAAAACAAATACTTGTGAGATTACAAAAACATTACACCCAATGAGCTATTACACGAAATGTACGCCACAGTTACTCTAAGGGCATCCTGGGGTCAAACTGAGTGAGGTAAATACAACTTAAAATTTCCCAAAGGCAATCCTTCTGCTACTTGAATGGCATGCGAACTGCTACTAGGTACAGTTGATACTGATATACATAAGGCAAAGTTATATTCAGCCTCCTCTACCCTGCAAGCTCCTCTCAATCACCATATGACAGTGAAGACCATTTAAAAACTATACCTAACATCACTAAACAGCAGTCCGCGTTCACTTTTAGCTAAAGCTAGCTAATTAGCTATACTAACTGGCATCAAGCACCTGCTCTAGCTAACAAGCTAGGCTAACATAGCACTTAGACTGCAATCACAATAACCAATTGCCTGAAACATAACCAGGTCAGCAACGTCGTAATATCCAGACGAAAATTAATGTCAAAAGTTGACGCTCCTTAAAAGAAGTGCGACAAATGAGAGAAACCGTTAGGTTCAGGTGCTTACTGTCTCACTTACCATGTTGATGCAGTGCAGCTGAAACGGACTCTACACCGGCAACACTGAGCGGCCCGAGTCGGAAATCAAGCTGCAGGGAGCACATAAGCCCTTCTTGCGATGGCTATGCACAAAATGAAGAGGTTTCTCATTCAAACTGTCACAGTTTCCGTGCAGAGAACAGTTACATCGTCAAAATAATCAATGGATTCAACCTCCGCTCCCAAGTATTTTCAACTGCAGTAGAGGTCACGCTAAAACTCTGGGTAAGAAAGTGTCTTCAGATATGCCTGTATACAGAAAGTAAAAAACGACGATGTAATTATTCACCATTAAGCAAATGCGAATAAATATGTAGTAATAAAATGTATAAAATGTCTATTTTATGTTCTGTTAATTTATATTTGCTTTTTAAATTACATCGACTTTTGAATTTTGTAAAGGCTTAGAGCAGACTACTATAAATAGGCATTAGGCCCACCGAAACCGGAAGAGACGAATCACATCTATGTGACATCACCACCTACGACACATAGGTACCTTGAATGTGACATCAAATGTCTGGAATCCACCTCGTCAGTGAATAGAAGCAAATAAGGCAAGTTCACAGTTTTTGCTTATTTTGGCCTACCAGTGGGAAGGTGGTTATAAATAACATATAATGTGACGTTACCTTTTGGTGGTATTGGTTATTAAACAAATCAAGTTATGTAGTCTGTTTCTATGCTTAATTATGGTGAAAAAAGTCATATAAAGTTACAAACTGTAAGACAGGCCAATAAAAATACAACAGGCTTCTGTATCCTAACTGAAACCTTTAAGATGGGCCAATGTATCTTTAAACCTGTGGTCACAGAAAAACCATCAGAGAGGTTTTGTTGTTTTCATTCATGAGTCCATGTTTTTTGATTAGGTAAAAACATTGCCTGGGTATATACTGGAAAAAGCAGGTCTGCCTAGAGCACCCATGGCTACCAAATATAATTTTCAGCATGCATATGGTTGCTGTTTTGTTGTGATACTTTTATAGTTTTCCACTATTTTTTCCATTTTACATTGTACTTTATTACTTTTACCTGAAAGTTAGAGGTTCTGGATTTGTTTTGCAGAACACCATATTTGTGTGCAAAAAAAAAAAAAAAAAAAAAAAAAAAAAAAGAGTGTGAGGTACTGCTGGAGTTTTAATGCTAATTGCATCACTTACAGCATTAAAACCCTTAATGAATTATTGATTTGATTTTATAATAAATCTGAAAAATACTAAAATGGCATTTTTCAACAATTATTTTTGATTGAATAACATTTTAGGCGACTGTGCACATTACTATAAGTTTACCTGGACTTGTTTAATATGGGCCTTAGACTATACTTCCCATAGTGCATTTCAGGTAAACACTTTTTTCTTCACTTCAAATGACAGGTTGTTTCATAATAGTCTAAGGTGGAAACTGAATGTAATATCCCAATGAAATAACCCTGAGTGAGGAATTATCTATAATGTTCCGTAAGCATTTCCTGTTGGTGACATTATACTTGCAGTAATTATCCTGATGAATTTCACAACAAGGCACCTTTTCGCTTTTGCTTTTAACATTAGATGAGTGACTCTGCTCATCACATTCTGTATATATTATAGGTGAAACTGAGGTGCACCAAATGTAAAAACCTAATTGCAGTAATTTAAAATAATAATTACATAGTCAGTGTGCATTTTGTTTACAGCATGGCTCAAGACAGTCAATTGCTGAACACTCAGGCACAGAGTGCACATGTTTATGCATTTGTGTTAGTACCTGTAGACAAAGAGTAGCATGTATATTAACATGTGGGTATATAAGGGCTTGGCTGTATTTGCACATGCGCATGTGTTGGCTAAACCCTCCTTTCTTATTGCAGCGATACCCCACCCCCTTGATGCATCGTACCAACATGGCACATAGACTCAGACACACACACTGCAGGAGTGTATTTCCACATTATATCAGTGTGCTCTCTTCCACATTCTCCCTGTTAAAAAAACAAAAATTAGCATTGTGCCCTAAGGCCAAAAAGATCCTCTTTACTAATGATGATGTCAGCAATAAATGCAATTAAGTTAAAGTGATGCAGTTCACATGAGAAAGAAATTACATGAAGACAACTGGCATTTTTTTATTTTTAAAACAGGATGTTTCATAAATGTCCCTCTACACACAGTGTTTTATTTTAGTATTTGGGTTAGTCCATCCATTTCACACTGATAATGTTTTCATTTATAATTTAAGAGAGTCTCGTACTGTACATTTTTCTCATTGTATTCTATATCTCACTCAACACTATCACTGCTGCTGTTTGAACTATTCTCTCTGGAGCTTGTGTGTGTGTTTTCTTATTCAGTGATGTCTGTTCTTTTTACTCAGGCTTGTTATTTTTAGATGAAACATAATAGCCAGGATCTTCAGTGTACTGTGAGAGTTTCACACTCCTTCCTAGTGTTTAATCCATATGACATCTCCTCTGTGCCTACTGGTTCTTTTGAGTTTCAACTCTCAAGCCTTTCAGTATAAATAAAGATGATGAGAATGTTACAGTAAAAATCTCAGCCTAGTCAATCACATACACTCATTGTTGAATGTCACAATTTATTTTTAATGGCAGGGCTTTTTGTGCATCTGTGCTGGTGAGCGTTATACATCTTTTTTTTCTTTTATTAATCAAACAACAGTTTGAAATGTGTGTCACTGATCTCAGCAGTATACCTCCAAGCAGAGGAGGAAAATAGAACAAAAATTCATGTCAACTTCTCACCAGTAAGACTGAAAATGGTTCAGAATGTCATTTTCTTTGGTGCAGCGCCTCCTCAATCATTCTTTGTAATCTACAAGAATGCAAATTACAATGCAAATACTACTGAATAATTTATGTCTAGCACAGACTTCCTTTACATAAACCAGGAGCTTTTTGCTTAAATAGATTAATGTGGCATTCAGAGTACACATTTGGTTAACCATAGAAATACACCAATTCTGTTTAACAATTTATTAAAGGTTTCATAGGAGTCAGTGTATACTTTGAATTATCTCAAATACAGTACTATTTGTACCGTGTTCACCATGTTGCTGAATGCAGGACAAAGACATGAATCAGCAGACATTTCTTTCTCTTACAAATTAACTTAAATATCACATCCATGATCATTCTTTGGTGTTGATGGGTGATCTGACTCACACTGGCGTGGCAAACATGTAACAGCAAACTGCACTTTACTTGACATCACTGTCAGTTACAGCCAACAATAGTTCAGTAATTTCTTTTCCAGCATTCATTTATTTCCATGTTCACTGCAGCTGATATTTAAATACCACCTACATGCTGTATGTAAATGTCAATCCAACCCACTGTTGACATTAGAACCATTTCTCAGTTACTATAGTACTTTTGCATCTAAAAGAGTAAGTACTGCTTTCATGGTTCAATACTTCAGTCTAATTCCTGTAAGTGAAAATGAAGCACATGCAGAATGTATTTGTCTTTTATATTGAGGCACGGAAAAAATTACATCTATTACAATTAATAACATTCATATACACTTGAACACATAGGCTAGATTTTGTCTTTTTTTTTTTTTTTTTAAGGAAAGTGCTTCTGTCTTAACACATGGCTGTGTTCATACTTCTCCCTCAGCAGTTTTTCCATCAGGGATTGTAATTAAGCAACAGCATTCATGAGTGGGTATGCTCATTTAGCCAGCATCTGGGCTTAGACAGCTTTAGAGGGATGGAAGAACAAATCCTGGTGGAACAAGGCAATGTATGCCATTACCAAAGTGAAAACATTGCAGACAGAATAACAAATACTTTGAAAGTTTTTTTTATATCTTATGTAGTACCTTATATAGTTTGCAACGTACCACCTTATATAAACTGAGTTAGCCACATTTTCTGCATTAAAATTTTTATCTTTGCATATAAACTGAGCACAACACCAAAACCATTTATATGTGAAATACTTTTTAAATGCATACTTGCATGCATTAAAGCTGTCATTAGTGTGATTACTGGGGGTAAAAATGTAAATATAAGGCAGGTTCGTTAGACAGATGAAATAGTTGATATGGGAAGAGGTTACAGTCAACATATTATTATATAAAATTGCTACCATTGATGCTTTTTGTAGAAGAGCATGTTTTTAATGAGATTATGTCATAATACAAATTCACATAATCTATTTTGGATATAAAAGAGTTAAGGAAACTGATAATTTTGTAATTAGACCAAAAACAACATTTTAGAGCTGAAGAATCTCTCTTTTTGGGCATTTACTTAATTGTTCTGGGATATAACTAATAAGACCTATACCAGATGTACTAGAATGTACCATGTTCTATCTTCATCATCATCTTCTTCTTCTTTTACTTCTTATTCTATGTGTGTCCAAAATCCACAAAATCAATTAATTGTATGGCTCTTAGTTTGGGTGTCGCTATGGCTGGTTTTTATCCTACACTGGTGTTTATTGTATATTTAATTTCCTGTGTATTTATGCCACAGGAAAATTCCAGGATTCACCCACCAACTGCTCACTGCCATTGCAGCACCAGAAAATATTAATGCTGATTTTTTTCCCTTTTCTACTGAAGACTGATTTATATCAGAATTAGGTTACAGTGTGTGTATGTGCATACAGCAACAGCCAGAAATAAGGGCAGAGCTAGAAGGAGAGAGAGGGGGAGAGAGAGAAGCTCATTATAATCAGGCAATTATGCTGGCAGAATTAGAAGCGTCCTTATTTTTTCATGTGGCAGCCTGAGTGTGGAGACGGCTTTGTAACTGACTGCAGACTAATCCATGGATATGACTATACTGTGTTAATGTGGAGCATCTGTAGCTGTGTATGACAACAAGACTTGGAAGTGAAAGCCTGTGATTTTGGCTTTTTTTTTTCTTTTTTTTTGGGAGAACCGGTGAGTCAAGCAAGGCTCCTCAGGTTGTGGGCTCTAATTTGCATTGATGAGGATTTTTATTTAATTATTTATTTTTCCATTCTCTTCTGGTTGTGGTTTTGGCTCAGCGGTAGTGAGTGAAAGACCATGGCAGTTATACACACCTACGACTCAGCACCATGGACGTACATAATCAGTGCCTTCCAAACAGTGGTATATTATTATACTGCATGTTTTTAAGCCATTTTCTTCAATTTCATGTGGTATGTCGTATAGTAGTACGTGCTGCTATTGTTAATGCTTCTGGAACTAACA